TCCTGGGTCCGGCCTCGGTCTGGGGCTACAGGTCAGATTCACACTTCGTGACGGAGGCTGGGTGATCTTGGGCAGGCTCCCGGTACCTCAGCCTGGACAAGTGTGAGGGTGAAAGGATGGGGGCCTCCTTCAGGCAGGGCAAGGGTGGGGTGCCTTTATAAAACGCCCCCTTGTGCAACTCCAGCACCTGGGCCTCACTGCACCTCGCTCCTGGGCCCTCCCACCTGGCAGCTGCCTCCACAATGGGTGAGGCATCACTCCTCCCAACAGCCTTCTGCTCCCAGGCCTCAGGGCTGGGCCTCCCTGGGCTCACCTGGGCAAACCTGTCCCGCCCTACCACCCGACAGCCCCTTTGTGGGATATCAGAGCAGACGGATTTTCTTCGTAAAAACACAGAGCGGGCCTGACAGGGGTTCTGAGGGGACTGTGGTACAGCTGAAACACTTTGACCTGGCACAAGGAACAGCCAACATAGTCAGAACTCTGGCTCTACCGCTAGAAACTATAGGCACTTGCGATGGTCCCTCACTGCCATCCCCAGGCCCAGCTTCCTGAAGGGCTTGGTTCTGCTCTTGTATCTGCCCTTGAATCTGCTCAGGGCTGGTTACAAGGAGGCCCCACCTGTCAGGATTAAGCTCTGCTCTTGCTTAGGCCCTTGGAGGCTGGCCCCCTTCAGAGCCCCTGCAGTTTAGGCCCCAGAAGCGTGGCACCCACCACCTGTCTGTCCCCTAGGTCTAGAATAGACACTTGACAGGTACTCATTGTTTATTGCTGGATTGAGGGGCACAAAACCAGAGCTGCGAAACTCCCCTTGTCACAGACATGCCCTCCTTTGTCCTGCTGGACCACACACAGTTTAAAGGCCAGGTTTCTTGCCTCGTTGACTGACTTCTGTCCTCCCATGACATGCTGGGCACTGGGTCTCAAACCGACTCACAGACTGCACCACGACAGGCCTTCCTTGTGGATACTGCCTAGTGCCCAAGCTTCTGCCTTTCTGCACCTTGCAAAATCCCAGAACCCCACCTAGGGTCTGCCTTGGCTCCCTGTTACTCTAAGGCCCAGGTCTCACCCAGCAGGAGATCTGAACAGCCCCTTCCCTCCAGCTGTGCCCTCCTACAGACTGTTGACAAAACCACCCTGCGGACACCAGCCCCTGACCTAGAAAGCTGCTGGGTGGCCAGACAGGCCACACTGCAGTGGGGTATTCTTAATTCTCTGCTGTGGCTTCTCCCAGGGACCCTAGAGTGCTCAGTAGTGTGGCTGGGCATTCCAAGAAGAGGGGACTGCCAGCTGGGGGCAGAGAGCTTGGCCTCCCTGGGGGATGTACTGTACTGACTCCAAAGGGCCCCTGGAGGGCCAAGAGGGTCACGACCTCACAAGAAGGTCCCTCAAGTGAGAGCCCTTCCTTCCTCCCACACCAAGGCTGAGCCCAGCTCTGCACAGCCTCCTGGGTGGATTGTGTCCTGTGTCTGAGGTTGCTCCTGCCCCACCCTTTTCTTTCCCTCTCCCTAAACTCAGGCCCAAGGGCATCTCCCAAGGGCATCTGCTCCTACTGGAGCCTGCCAGTCCTGCTTGCCCATCAAGGAAAGAGCGCTGCGGTTTCTCCTGACCTTGTACAGGCCTGGCTACACACAGTGGATGTGGGCGTCATGCCCTGAGGTACTTGGAGCTCCCTTGAAGGACGGGCCACCAACTGTGGCCTCTAAGGCAGCAAGAACAGATGTTTTCACCCATCTAAGTCCCCTTAGGCCCACCCTGCCTCTCTCTCCGGATCATGGTCAAGGGATGGGTGAGGATAATACTTCCTATAATAGACTGCTGTTAGTAGCAAATGTTAATGGCCAGGTCCTCTGCTGGGTGCTGAGGAAACACAAATGAGACAGTCCCTCAGCTGACGGCTGCCTCAACCCAGCCTTGGGCAGGCACACGCCTTGGTGTATGGAGAACACGCAGTACATCTTTGTGGAATGAATGAAAAAGACATGAAACAGGCCGTCTGGGTACACCCAGCAACACAGATACCTGGTGGGGTGTGTGACAAACACAGGAAGGCCTCCAGGGCAGAGGTGAGGCCTGACCCTTCCACCACCCACCCCCACCTTCAGGTAAGGAGGGCTCCCAGTCCCCATGACCACCCTGTCTTGGTACCCCAGCACCACAGGGAGTCAGCAACAATTCCCCAGGGCCAAAGGCATTAAAAGTAAAAAGGAAAGTGTTTCCTAGAGGGAGTCTTTGGAGAAGAGCCGGAGGAGCCAGAGGGCCTGAAGCTTATCTGACACGCTATCCCCAACCCAGGGTACCTCAGGAGTGGCCCCTAAGAAGGATGACCTTCAGCCCTCAGGAGCATAGCCTGAGCCCCTGTAGGGGGCCCTGTCACAGGCGGGCCTCTACTGTTCAGTCAGGAACCTCACCAAGAGCCCACATGAGCGTGTACCTGGACATCCTGCCAAATTGCCAAGACTACGCAGCAACCTGGGAAAGTGTACATACCAGGTTCTGAATTCCTGCTTCCTTGTCCCCCTCCCAGCTCTAACTGCGTGTGGGCCACCTGTGGGTACAGACTACACTGCTCAGAGACTGATGGGCCAGAAGAGTCATATGCAGGGGGAACAGCAGTGAATGTAGTGAGGAGACTTCAGGGTGTGGGGTGGTACTTGGAGATGTGTAAACTGGGGGAACCAAGCAGTGTCAGGAGTCCTAAGAATCCCCTACCAGATGCACTGGGTGGGAACTTCCACAGCCTGCTGAGAATCGCCTCCCCTTCCCCAGCAAAGTTCTGGACGTTGGCTTTGGATCCTCGAGCCCAGATGAAAGCAGCTGACCCTCAACCCTTGGGACAGCAATGCAAAGTGAGAGTCACCCCACTTCACACCTTTAGTGGGACCTAAATCCCGGGGAGCCTCTGGCCTATGGACCTCAGACTGTGCAAAGCACAGCTCTGCATTCGTAGTCATGGCAGAGCAGAACCTCCCCTACACAGCAGGGAGGCCCAGGGCTGGTGCTCTGTGGATCCAGACACGCTGACACGTAGCCCACCAGCACCACGAACACCACTGCTACACACACCCCTCAGTTTCTGTCCGTCCACAGTCCAGCTCCAAGCACCCAGCCCTTCCTTGGCCTGCCCTAGGCTGCACCTCTCCAATCAGCCCTCTTCCATGGGGCAGAGGGAGCCTGTCTTGCCCCACAACCTGAGCATCCGAGGGGGTTCCTTCCCAGACCTCAGCTAGGGGTGCACCCATGGCTACCAAGATTCTGGCTAAATGAAGGGCCTCCTCGGGGTCTGGAGAAGGGCATGGGGTCTGGGCTATAGCACCTGCACGCTGATCAAAGGTATTCCTGGAGGACAGAGGTTGTGCATGCGGGGAGGAGGAAAAGCCCTGGCGAGAGAGGGCACCTAGGCAAGGACTGCTCGTACCTTCACTCCTCTCCTTTCTGAGGAAGCATGGGAAACAAGGGTCCTTAAAGGAGGAGGAGATGGCCTGGAAAGAGATGGCAGAAAGCCCCGGGGGAAGCAGGGAGCCCTGGAAAGACAAAGCAACCCGCTTGCACCTCCAGTCATCGGTCACCTCCTCCAGGCAGCCGCCCTGATCTCTCCCATTTCTACCACCATAAAAGGCACCCTTGCATGTTACGGTTCTAGGTCTGAGTTCCTGACTCAAACCTCACGTCTAGAGTTCGAGCTGAGCGCTCAGGGTGCTGAAGGCTCCTAACCCTGAGGGGCGGGGCAGGTGTGTCTGCCTGGACCCAGAGGAGGTTTCCCAGCAAGGCCCTCTTCCCCTCGGGGCTGGGGCACCGCCCGGTAGAAGTGACTTCAAAGCGCCTCGGCCGACAGGCTAAGGTCTGTGGCGCCCAGCTCCAGCCCTGACACCATCCTGCCGTCGGGGCTGTCCCAACCCCGCGTCTCCGAAGTGTGGGTGGGGGTGCGGGAAGGAGGCTGCAGAGACCGAGGGGTGCGTTCGGAGCCCCGCAGTGGGAGGGTCGGACTGCCGCGGGGCCAATGGCATGCGCGG